CGTCCGCGGTTGCATTCGTCCTCAGCCTCAGCGCACCAATGGCGACCTCGATCAAGTTCAGCTCAAATCTCCAGGGGCAGGCGGAGGCAGACTCCGAAGCCGCGGCGGCTGCCGGGCGCTGCGCGGACTACGTGCCGCCAGGGGAGTCCAAATGGTATGACTCAGACGGACCATATTGGGATTGCGCGAGGTACCAATCATCGACTAACGGGTGCGCAAGTTGGGGCGACGGATACAGGAATTTCGGTTACACGGCCAACCAGGCGTGTTGCACATGCGGGGGCGGTGTATCTTCCACGCCGCACCCGACGCCGTACCCGACGCCGTACCCGACGCCGTACCCGACGCCGTACCCGACGCCATACCCGACGCCGTACCCAACGCCGAACCCGACGCCGAATCCGACGCCGAACCCGACGCCGAACCCGACACCGAATCCGACGCCGAACCCCACGCCGAACCCGACGCCGAACCCGACGCCGTACCCGACGGCTTTCCCGACGCCGTACCCGACGGTCTTCCCGACGCCGTACCCGACGCCCTACCCCACGGCCTTCCCGACGCCCTACCCGACGCCGTACCCGACGGCCTTCCCCACGCCTTACCCGACGCCGTTCCCGACGCCGTTCCCGACGCCCTTCCCGACGCCCTACCCGACGGCCTTCCCGACGCCGTACCCGACGGCCTTCCCCACGGCCTTCCCGACGCCCTACCCCACGCCCTTCCCGACGGCCTTCCCGACGCCCAGCCCGACGCCCAGCCCAACGTATCCTTTGGGTTGGCCGACGCCACATCCAACATTTCCTCCCGCAGCTCCCATGGCGGCTGGAGCCGCCGGAGGCGTGGCTGCCACTGGCGATCCCCACCTTCAAAACGTCCACGGCGAGCGGTTTGATTTAATGAAGGCAGGCACACATGTTCTGATAAACATCCCTCGTGGAGTGAGCGCTTCGGACGCATTGCTTCGTGTGCAGGCGGATGCGCGCCGATTGGGTGGAATGTGCTCGGATATGTACTTCCAAGAAATGAACATTACGGGCTCTTGGGCGGAGGCTAAGCAAGTTGGAGGGTATCACTACAGCGTGCGGCAAGTCGTCGCGAATATCCATCAATGGGTTGTTTTTGGTAAGGTTGAGTTGAAAGTCGTCCATGGACGCACGGAGAGTGGCATCCTGTACTTGAATGTGTATGTGAAGCATTTACGGCGATCAGGGTTTGCCGTCGGAGGCTTGCTGGGGGAAGACGACCACAAAGACGCGATGACTCCCCCAGCGTCGTGTACCAGACACACGGCTTTGTTGGAAGTGGCGACGAGTGGCCAGGCTCCTTCCTCCGAGTTGTCAGTTGCAACGGCGACCTTCGCGTGACCATGGGGGATGCTTTTGAACGTGTGTGTGACGAGCGCGCCCCTTCGGGCGACGCATGATGCAGAGCTTCTGTTTCTGGGTAGGAAGTCGCTGACGAACTTTTGTTGCATGGGTGATCTGTGACAAAAAGCATATCGCACTCCGTGTCACTCCCAGAGGACCGCCCGCGCGAGGAAACGTCCTCAACGACATGAGGCGGTCCTGGCCGTTTCGACCGGGGGTCCCGGCCAAGTTGGCCGGAATTGGGCGTTTCTCTTGACACATCCTCGCAACTCGGAGGTCCGAGATGCGGGGAGATCGGTGGTCCATCACATTTCGCCCGAGACGTCCTCGCAATTCTGAGCTCCGAGATGTCGCGCGAGAGGGGTCCAACCCGTTTCGCTTGAGAAACCCTGGCAAGTCCAGGCTCCGAGATGCCGCGCGCGAGAGGGGTCCGGTGCGTTTCGCCTGAGAAATCATATCAAGCCCGAGCTCCAAGATGCCGCGCGCGAGTTGGCCCAGCCCAGCCCAGCGGACCGCCCGCGTGAGGAAACGTCCTCAACGAAATGAGGTGGTCCTAGCCGTTTCGGCCGGTGGTCCTCGCCGCAATTCTCGTTTCCAAGTTGGCCGGGATCGAGACATCTTCGCAAGTCGGAGCTCCGAGATGCGGGGCGATTGGTGGTCCAGCGCATTTCGCCGAGACGTCCTCGCAATTCTCAGCTCCGAGACGTCGCGCGAGAGGTTCCAACCCCGCGCGCCAGACCACCTCTCCTTCGGGCTGGAAGCCGATACGGCCCCAATCCCGACGCCCAACACGTCGCCGAACCCGACGCCGAACCCGACGCCGTACCCAACGCCGTACCGGACGCCGAACCCCACGCCGAACCCGACACCGAATCCGACGCCCTACCCCACGGCCTTCCCGACGCCCTACCCGACAGTTTTCCCGACGCCTTACCCGACGGTTTTTCCGACGCCTTGCCCGACGCCTTACCCGACGGCGTTCCCGACGGCCTTCCTAACGCCGTCTTGAGGCCAACGTGGGCCATCTTGGAGCGCTCTTGGCCTGAGGCCGTGGGGCGTGCCACCCCTTTGGCGCCTCGCTAGGGCACTCGGGTGGGACCCGAGGCCGCGCCCAGGAGTTCTGGCATCTCTGACCCATCCTTGCCAGGATTGCCGGGACTTTGCTGGGGCCTTGCTGGGGTACTTTTCGACCGAGGACCCCTCAGGGGCCGCCACGCGCGCGAAAACTAGAAACAGTCTTACATTATTAGCGGAGATTTTAACCCGCCTTTGGCCCATTGGGGATTGGCGAATTATGTGTTGCGATCGGCTGCTGTTGGCAATAACCCGTGACGCGATGCAATGACCATGATTTGATAAGATACGGTTGACAGTGATATGACAACCTGTCCAAGGCATGGTAAAACATTCCGCAACACGACATGCAATGGGAATAAAGTCAGCCCGCATAGTAAGCATGGTCACCCTTCCCAAGGGTATCCTTGCATCCTTGCCTCCTCGGTCCATCCTTGGCCGCTTTCGCTGGCCGCGCCCCGCGCTCAAGGTGTCGGCATGGCCTTCCGAGGCCCTTGCATCCTTACCGCGCATCCTTATGACACGGGCAGGCTGTATATAGTACGCGCGACGAGCCAACGCCCGTGCCGCGAGGAACTCGACAACGGCAGCCGAGCTGCGCGTGCCTTCACAAGACAGGCAAGAGCCCCCCGGGCAGTCCCAAGCGGGAAAGCGTGCGCAGGCCAGGGCCCGTGGCACTCTGGCTCAGGCGGCCGTGGCCGGCAGGGCGCGGCCAGCGGCGACCCCCTCCGCTTGCGCGGAGGGGGGCCAGGGCGGGGGGGGAGGGGGGGCGTCGGAGGGAGGATCGCCGACACCGCCACCAGCAGGCTAGCTCATCTAGGAGGCGATCGCAGGCATGGATCCAGGGGGCGTGGATTCGCGACGGGCCCCGTCTCCGCGGGAACTCGCGGGCTCCCGCCGCCGAGCGAGGCGGCGCCGGCCGCATTCTGGGGAGGGCACCTCCCCAGATCCAGGGATCTGGCGACCGCGCGCCAGATCCATGGACCGCTAAGCCATGTTCTGCGCGCCCCCGAGTCCAGGAGGTCCACGGTGCCTCCCCCTGGGCCGGGAGCGGCCCGAGCAGGGCGTGGCAAGAGGGCCTTGGCCGCAGCACCCAGGGGGCCATCCCCTGCCTCCTCCGCGTCCAGCCCCAGGTCTCGCGAGGCGAGGTGGCGGCGGCCAGTCTTGCCCCGCCGCGCGGGTCCTGGAGCGCGGCAGCCGAGCGCGGCGGCCAGGAGATCCGCTCCAGGAGTCAACCGCGGGGTCTGCCGTGGGAAGACGTGACCCCGCGTCAACGTGAGAGACTGTGCCTTGGCAGTCAGAGATTTCGTGCTGCTCTATGGTTGTGTAGGGCACGTCCGCTACAGGACCTAACAAGCAAGAAAAAAAAGAAAACACTGAACAAGCACTAAAAGGGTTTTTTCTAGCTCTGACAATAACACTGCTTTTTTTCACATCGTGTTTAATTAAAAATCACTCATATCCAACTCCCGCGCCGCACTCGCGCTCTGTCATAATGCTTTTCAATTGATCACTAGCGCGGGAGGGCATGGGCCCCACCATCTACAATGACTCATAATTCACAACACTCCCCTTTTCTTCCCCTAGTCAACGCACAACGGCAATCCAGCCGCATCCGCGCGTTGCTTCGTCACGCGCGCATGGCTAAAAAACGATACTCGGATGGTGCTCTCGCCTCTGCGCCTACTGCACATTGGCCTCCCATTCTGCAATCATTCGCTATGGATGCTGATCTCCTGTCTCCCCGAAAACGTCGGCTGTTCGACATTTGGGGGAGACGGAGGGCCGAGGGGGGGAGGGGAAGGCGGGGGGGGAGGGAGGGCGGGTGAATGGAAACGGGGAAGGGAGGGGGGAGGAGGGGCCATACTTAATAATGAAGCGGAGGGTCTGCTGGCGCATCATGAAGCGAAGACGGGGGTGAGGGTTGGTGTCGGGGCGGGGCTAGACTCAAAATCGAGATCGGGCTTAACCTTAGGGGGTGGCGCGGTGGGGAGGGGACGGGGGGGAGGAGTTGGGGGAAGGCAAGCTGTGAGGAATCATCGTTAGGCCTACGGGCTTAGCCTAGGGCCCAAGAAGGGCCGAATGGCTGGTTCCATGAGTTCAGGAAGGGAGGCGCACGGATTTAAAATTAAGCACCATAGCGAGGCCACATTACTTATGCCAGGACAAGTTGGAGCTAAGTTTTAATCTGACCAAGGGTTTCACACTGGAGGGGTGTGCGGAGGGGTGGGAGGTTCAAAGTTAAGCTCAAAAAGCGTAGGGGGGCGGGGGGGGGGGCCCGTCCTTCCTCCGCTCCCCTTTTCCGCCCCAATCCTCCTCCACTATTCGCGGGGGGCGGGCGGCCACGGCCGATAGGCCTACGAATAGTGGCGACCAGGTTGCAACAGACTCTGGGTTGCAACAGACTCTGGTTTGCAGCCAGACTCTGGCTCTGGGTTGCAGCCAAGGGCCCACGCATGGGCCGAATACCCGACGCAACAACAGAAGCAGCAAGAAGAGCAGCCAGGGGGGAGGTGGAGGGTCGGCCCTGGCGCCGAGTCCGAGGCCAGAACGGCCTTACTGGAAGGCCAGCGCCTTCTCGCACCGCCCCCTCAGGAGCGCGCGCGCCCTCTCGAAGCCGCCGACGTCGGCGAACTTCTCCTTGAGCTTCACCATGTCGGCTTGGAGCTGCTTCTTGCCCGACGCCGTCTTGAGCAGGTGCATCGCCCTGCCCTCCAATTCTACAACTTGGACGTTGTTCTGCACTCGTAGCACCTGCTGCATGAGGTCGTCGTGCAGGCGGTGGCCGACGGCCTCCGCGTATTGCACGTAGGCGTCGCGGTCCTTGAAGGCGGACGCAAAATTGCCCCTTCCCTCCCAGGTGTCCTGGGGAGGGAAAAGGGGGATGTGGGTAGGAGGGGTAGGTAGGTAGGAGGGGGAAGGTAGGAGAGGGAGGGAGTTCTGCTCTAAGGAGTCGACGCGGCTCTTGATATCCTTGATGTTGAAATTCTGGACGCTGAGCTTGTCGTTGGCGAGGTCCTGCAAGGCCTTCAGGGCGGCGCCGTCAGGGAGGTCGGCGTACCAAGGCTTGTCGTCCTGGCCGCCCTGCGAACACGGCTCGGTCGCATCGGCCGCCTCTTTGAGCTTCTTCTCGTCGTAACCGACCACGACCATCACGCTGTCCGAAATCCTCTGCTGCATATTCTTGAACTGGTCGGCGAAAGCCAAGTGCTCGCACTTGCAGGCCAGGTCGTCGCAGAAGTCATTGAAGACACCCACCGCCTTCGCCATCGCATTTGCCTTGCCGACGGCGCCTCTCGTGCACGACCTCGCGCGCGAGACGTCCTGGAGCACGCCGCCAACGTTGGGCATTTCGGAGACGAGGTCCTTGAACCGATCGAAGAAGCCCACCGCAGCACGGCACATGGCGGCGGCAGATTTGATCACCTTGGCGTCCTGGCTGCTTGAGGAGATCACCGCCAGGGCAGAAAGGGCATCAGCCAGCGCAGCATCCCCTCCAATCTGGTTGCAATATGCCTTGAACGCTCGCTTGGTGATGGTGCTGGCACACTTGATGACATATGTGTTCACCTCCTCGGGGAGCTTGATGCCCGCCATGTTGTTGCATGCCGACGCCAGCTTCAAGTAGGGGGCATCGTCTGCAATCACTCCGTCTTCTGCCAACGGCAAGGTGTCAATATCATTGAAGGCTTGTTTCAAGACATCGATGCGGGCCTTAGAAGTCGAAGCTGCGATCACATAGTCTATCTTGGTTGCCATCGCCTGTGCATCGTCGTCCATCACGCACACCTTAGTCGCGAGGGTCACGGACTCGCGGATGCTCGCAAGGTGTTCGGCGGAAACAACGTCTGTAGAGAATTCGTTGTGGGACAGCCCCTGGACTATTGCCCCAAGCACCTTCTTGGCTTTCCCGCAGGCCTCGCCCATGACACCAGGGCGCATCACCGCTTTCCAAAGGGGGGCCTCCTTCTCCATGAAGAGCTGCAGGTGGCGGGTCACGTCAGAGAATTTCGAGGCGAGTCCGTCGACACCGAGGTTTACGTACGCCCCAAACTCATCAGACAGGTTGTTTGCCTCATCCTTGTGCTTCTTGTCCTTGGCGCCGTAGCGCCGCAACTCCTCGGCTTTCTTCTGGTCGAACGGCGCCGTCAGCAACGCCGCGCTGACGAACATGCCAATACTCTGCGGCTCACTCTGCCTGGAAGGTGGCTCAGGAGGCGCGCACTGCTCCAACTCATTCAACACCGCCACTTGTTCAGCGAGGTCGTCGTCACGCCGGGGCAGGAGAAGGCTTTGAAGCGCCCTCAGACTCAATGTCAGTTCGTAGAAGTCGCTGCTGAAGTCCGCGGGCACTCTGCCATCTTTCAGGTCTTGTTCCACCAGCGGCAACACTTGTTGCACCAACTCTTTGGCAACATCTTCGTGCGCAGCGCCCTTGAGCACGGCGCCGCTCACGAAGTCCTTGCAGAAGGTCGCCTTGAACTCTCCAAGCTTCGCGGGGTCGCCGACCTCCATCTCAATCAACTTGGGATCCAAAGGGTCGAACGAAGTAATGGATATGTCACATTACACCGTGTACGGCCTGCAAGCGACGAACGCTTCAGCCATGCTGTTGCCTCCCCCACGCGTCTGCAGCGCTTTATCAAAGACCTCGCGCAAGGACATGTTGGTGAGCGCTATCTGCATCACTTCGGGGATTGGCACCTTGGCGTGCTTGAGCCGACGCAGGTTCTCCTTGAGCTCGCTGGGGCCCAAAGTTGCAAGCTTCGACACCTTCGTCTGATGGGCGGCGTGCACCAATGACATGTGCACGTTCAGCACGCCGAAGTCTCCAGCATGCTGCGGCATGTTGCGCATGCTGCGCAATCTGCAAAGTAATTGATCCCCCTGGACCCTTGCGCACCCCAAGGGTTGATCGGCCAAGATGTCTGTCAAATTGTTCTTCTCCTTCCAGTACTGCACCTTCCCAGCGATGTCTCTTGGGCAGGACTCGTGGCCAGGGGCCGCCGTCTGGCCGCTCGCGGAAGGGGCGCAGGGCGGCGGCGCCGAGGCGCAGCCTCCGGTTGCAACAGTATGCGATGCAAGGGCCGCGGCTGTCAGCCCAGGCCCAGGTGGAGGAGAAGCCGAAGTTGGTCGACCAAGCTGTGCTGCGCGGTGCCACGTCGCAGGAGGAGGGTCGCTAACTGGTGACCTCGAAGCCAACGGTGAACTGCGGGGGGGCCCCATAGGCGAACCCACGCTCGCCCCGGCGCTGAAGCCAGCATCTGGAACCCCTGGCGATTGCGAATTCGCTTTCGCCTTCGCCTTCGCCCCCTTCTTCCCTGCCCTGTCCATCGCGACGCTGATGGCCTGGAAGCTGGAGGCGCTGCGGCCCTGGAAGATCTCCCCGTCGACGTTCGTGACATTCTTCTCGCGCAGCATCTCCGCCATCATCTCGACGGTGCGGCCCTCGGGCAGCAAGTTGTGCTCCAGGATCTCGATGGCCTTCCCGACCTCAAGCCGCACCCTGCGGTAGTCTCTTGTCAGGTCGCCCCCCCCCCAGTCATCACGCAGCAGGAAGAGCGGCTCAGGCTTGCCAGTGTCATTCCACACGATGCGCGCGTCTAACTTCAAGAAGGTGGGGGTGCAGCCTGTAAGATCCTTGACCTCTTTCGCGTTCAACCCCAACACCTCCCGATATATAACAATGTTCCTATACTTCTCCTCGTTGACCCCTGCCGCGGGGAAGCCGCGATCAACGGGGTCCAAGTTCTGCACCTCGTGCGCCTTTTTGATCCCCTCCTTGAGCGAGGCGCTCTCCCGAATCATGTGAGCTGCATCATCTGGCGAACTGACGACCTTGCCCACAGCCGACCGCACCTTCCCGTCGCAAGGGATGCAGAAAGAGCCGACTGGGTTACCCGACTCATCTGTCGCCCACTGGACCTCATTGGGCTGAAAGACTGTGGAACGAAAGACTACGTGTCCGCTACCATTACATGTCCGACCCACGTTTTTCCCGAACTAACCCAGCCCACCCTCGCCAGGTCAACCAGACAAGTACGAGCCATATTTGGCCCATAATGCGATCTCATGATCGTTCCAGTATACATTGGGGAAAACTGCAAGGGGCAATCGTCGGATATCCAATGGCAGGGGCCTCATCCAAGAATGCGAAACGGAGCGATAGCCGAGTAGTCCCACCAACTCTTCTGGGTTTGTTTAAGGAGCTCGGTATTACAACCTGTTTCACCTTTCGAAGAGGGGTTTACCCCTCCCGCTACCCCCTATCCCTTGGCGTGGACGCGGGCGGGGGGGTTGGGCGCGCGTGCGCGGGGGGGGTGGTAGAGCGACCCAGATGGCCCAAGAGGGCCCGAGGAGGGCTCCAGGTCGCCCAAGATGGTTTCCAAGATGGCTCAAGACAATGGTTCAACCTGGCCTCCAACACGCCTCCAAGAGGCCACGCCCCCGAGAGGCCCGAACCTTATCAACGCCTAGAGGGCCCCGAGAGCCCCCTCCCAAAAACACAAGTCCGCCTGGCAAGTGTGCTTGTCACGAAGCCCTGGAGATCCTGCATACTCTCTCGCCTGGTTTCCCTTTGTGGTGCTCCTCTCTCTCTCTCTCGATCTCTCTCTCTCTCTCTCTCTCTCTCTCTCTCTCTCTCTCTCGCTCTCGTTTTCTCTCTCTCTCTCTCTCTCTCTCTCCCTCTCTCTCGCTCTCTCTCTCTCTCTCTCTCTCTCTCTCTCTCTCTCTCTCTCTCTCTCTTCTCTCTCTCTATCTCTCTCTCCTCTCTCTCTCTCTCTCTCTCTCCCCCCCTCTCCCTCTCTCACTCGTCCCCCTCCATTTGCCCCATCTCTATCTCCATCGCTCTCCACCCCTCTCTCTCTCTGCCTATCCCTATACATATGCATCGGCTTATATGTGTATGTGCTCATGCATCTCTGTAGACGTCGTACTCCATCTCTGTCTCTATCCCCCCCTCTCTCTCTCTCTCTCTCTCTCTCTCTCTCTCTCTCTCTCTCTCTGCGCGCGCGTAGCAATCCAGACAGGGGGCGGCGCGCAGGGGGGCCCAGCGCAAGCGCGCAAGAATCAATCGCTGCCACCCCCCATCACCGCCTCCCTCCCCTGCCCCCTTCCGCCAGCCCGATCCCTTCCGCCGCCCTGCCCCCTCCTTTTCCCCTTCCGCCTCCTCCATTTAATCGCCCGACATATTTCTGAACGCGGGGGGCAGGCGGAAGACGGCAGAGCACACGCAAGAGTTTCAAAGCGGCCCCCAATCCGCCGAATTCATGTCGCAGAGAACGCAAGTGTCCACGACATCACCCTGCCCAGCTGTCGGGGCCCCGCTGGCGGAGCGTTTCGTGCCCCTGCCTGCGCCGCGCCCGCGAGGCGGCCTCCTGCTTGCCATCGCTGCAAACCAGAGGACGCATGCTGCGCGCGCGTGGGGGCACGCCAAAAACATCTCCACCTCCCTGGAACCCTCGGGCAAGAAGAGACATGATACCGGAATGCCAGATTGTCACAGCGAGCGCAGGGATGGTGCGCAAAGTTCTAGGAACGGAACAAGTGCAATGCCCTATGACTGCAGCATCTACCAAAGGGGTTACCAATGCAGGGGTTATCACCAGAAACTTGCCTATATGAGTCCTTCCTTACTCAAGGAGAACTTGTCCATGGTCACGGGTATGGTGTCTCCTGTGGCTTTCTGGTGATGCCTGCGGTTTCCTGGTGTTTCCTATGGTATCGGACTACATGTTTCATATGGAATCGTGGTGCGTCCTATGGTATTCCTATGGCTTCGATGCGTCCCGATGGTTTCATAATGTATCCCCATGGGGCCCCAGTACTCTGTGATCGTTGCAGGCGCACGCGTGGATGCATGAGCAACGCGGCAAGGAGCAAGCGGCTTCTTGGATGAGCGTGGAGAAAGCCCCAAAACACACGCGCACACAACCACCACCACCACCACCACCACCACTACCCACCCCACCCCACACCACACCACCCCACACCACGCACGCACACGCGCAAACACACGACAGAAACAATGTGCAGCGCATGTTGAAGATACTGCACCCCCAACTCAGCCCAAATGGATGCCAATGGCTGGCGACCCGACAAAACTGTGCCACGCGGGCCCCGTCGGGGAAACATGGCTTTGAGTTGATCTGGTGCGGGCAGAGTCACCTTGGGATGCTGCCGCCAGAGCCCGCCCCCCAAAGGGTGTCTTGGACAAATCGGGAGGCTCTCCTCATTGGGCCCTCTTGGATCTGCATGGGCTATCGTGGGGCCATGGTGGGGCTTTCGTGTTCACGAGCACTCCCCCCCCCCCCCCCCCCTCCTCTTTCCTCCCTACCCCCCCCCTTCCCCTCCCCTTTCACCGAGGGGGGGGGGGGGGGGGGGAAGGAGGAGGGGGGGGGGGGGGAGGAGAGGGGAGGGGGGGGGGGTCATTGTAGCGGGGGAGGGGGTGGATGGGGAGGGGTGATTAGGGCCCCCCCCCCCCCCCCCCTTCTCCCCCATCTTCTCGGTGCGCTCGTTGAGCACCCGCATTGGGGCACGATTAAATTTCTGAGGCGGCTCCAAGCAAGCCCCGAAGAGCTCCTGGGAAGACTCCACACGCAGCCTGCTTGACGTCTTGGGGGAGGGAGGGGGCGGGGCAAGGCTGGGCAGGTTGTCGACGGCGGGGGCGGTTGCGCGGGGGAGGGAGGGGGGGGGGGGGGAAGGGGGAGATTGCGATTTGGGCGGGGTGGGGCGGAGCGGGGCGTGGGGAGGCGGGGCCCTCTTTAGCCCCGAGAAGACAGCCTCGAGACGGCACCGCAAAAAGCCGAGAGGGCCCAATAAGGCCCGAGCGGCCCCAAGAAAACGAATCAATTCCGATGCGCGGCTGCGGGGCCAAGTGGCGCGATAGCCCCTGGTCCGAGAGTTCGAGAGGAGCGCAATGAACACCATTGGTTATAGTGGGGCGCAGCTGAGTCACATGGGGCCCGACGGAGCCAATTGCACCCTAATCGAGGCCAGTGGGGCCCGACGAGGGCCAATGCAGCCCACCCAGTGGAATCCAATTACCAGAGTGAGGAGGGAATGTTGTCCAATGGATGGAGCCCGCTGTGAACGAATGGTGGCCAATGGAACTCAGTTGGCCCCAATGGAGCCCAATGTGCATTCAAACGAGGCCCATTGCCAGTCATAGGGCACAGGGCGAACAAGGGGGGAATGGATGCCAACGGATTTGAACGGGGGGGGAGGGGGGGGGTCAGCCAAGGCACTTATTCATATGTTACATTGGCGCTGGCGGATGCCGCCGTCCACCTCGGGCACCATACCGCGTAGAGGTCGGATGCCTACCTGAACGCGTTTGGAAACCCCCTCTGCGCCCGATCTGACAAATCTCGGGCTGTTGCGGGGCCTCTGGGTCAATTGCAGTTGGGTTGAATCAAACATGGATGCGAATGCAGACTTGGCCG